TCCCTGCAGCCTTGACTTTCTGGGCTCAAGTAATCCTCCCACCTCAGCCTCCCAAATAGGGAGGCACATTCTTCCATGCCCAGCTAATTTTCTGTATTTTTTTTTTTTGGTAGAGATGAGGTTTCATCATGTTGTCCAGGCTAATCTCAAACTCCTGGACTCAAGAGATCCCTCTATCTTGGCCTCCCAAACTGCAGGTATTAAAGGCTATTTAGTGACCTCACCCTAAGTCACCTTATTAGCATCAACTCAGGTGTGATCAAAAGGGGCTTGTTATGAATAACAAAAGATACTCCCTATCACTAAGGAAATCTCATGGTTTTAGGAGCTCTGTGACAAGAAAAAATGAAAATTCACCCAAATAAACTTTAAAACTACTATATTATACAACAAAAAAGCGGCAGAGTGTTTTGACTTTTATATAACATAGTTACATTGTGAATCACATTACAATTTAGTCTCCTTTTCAGTAGAAAGGTTTTCTAAGGAAATGATTTGGAGCCGTTCACATTTATCAGATGCCTTTTCATTATTTTTTTCCAGTTTTGCAACTCTTGATCCAAATTGCATGGCCCGTTTGGGCAGAAGAGCTGAGGCTGTAAGACCAAGTTCCACAGCTGCAAGGCGTAAAATTAGCTTTTCACCAATTCCTCGGGGTAAAGTCAAGTTTGCTTTTTCCCAAACTGGTAGAGAATTTAGAAAGGAGACGACGTTTTCATCCAGGAAAGGAAATCTAAAATAAACATACATAATATAATCACTACATAAAAATAAAATCAACCTGTTATAATAACTTTTATAGTTTTATAGCTAAAATTTAGTCACATTAAAAGTGTTTCATAACATATGACTGATTTTAATACATATACTACAAAATAGTCTAAGTCTCAATAAATAAATTAGGTTTATGGTGTCCGGAAATAATTTCAAATTGTTTTACAAGGTATCATTGTGGAGGCCCTGAAAACAGCATGATTTTTTTTTTTTTTTTTTTTTTTTTTTTTTTTTTTTTTGAGACAAGTTCTTGCTCTGTTGCCCAGGTTACAGTGCAGTGGTGCAATCTGGAGCAAGGTCACTGCAACCTCTGCCTCCCAGGCTCAAGCAATCCTCCTGCCTAGGCACCACCACGCCCAGCTAATCTTTGTATTTTTTTGGTGGCAATGAGGTTTTGCCATGTTGCCCAGGCTGGTCTCAGACTTCTGAACTCAAGTAACCCACCTGCTTCAGCCTCCCAAAGTGCTGGGAATACAGGTGTGAGCCACTGCACTTGGCTTACAAGCATGATCTTAGTTAAGTCTGACCTTTATCCCATCTAAAGAAATGATGCCTTAGGGATATGGAACGAATATAGAAGGGCTCCACAGTCCTGAACCTAAAAAACACTTACTTATGGTAAAACTTTGTTAATCGAAATTGTTTAATTATACTTAAACCAACGAAATGGTGATAAATTGGTATAACAGAACAAAATATTGGATTTTTTTTCCCCCTAAGTTCTGGGATGATCTAGAAACAAAATATTAGATTTAAAAAAAAACTTTCTGCCCTTTTGCTTCCCCAATTTTTAAAAAATTATGTTCTTTTTCTGTTTAAAATACTTAACACCCTCCATCCCACGCCTCAAAATGCAATGCAGTTACACTAGTGTTTCTGCTTTATTACTTCTTATTCTAGGTTAAGAGATTGGAAAGGGTAAAGACATTTGTTATAGGGAATATTACATAAAAATCAATGAGTTGCAAAAGCAATTTTAACTAAAGAATCAAATCAACACACTGTTGTTAATATATATGTCAAGATACACAATAAATTATTTAGATCTAGCCACTATAATATTTGTTAGATCACAATTCTGTATTAGCTGGTTTAAACATTCTTCATATGCATTTTTATTTGAGCATAGCATAAAACTTTCATAAGTAAGTGTCTTTACTAGACAAATTCCCTTCTCTATGACCTAGCTGAAATAAAACTAAATTTCTCCTCTTTCTCTCTCATGTTCTTCAAAAACAGTTTACAGACTTTGAATTATTGTATTAATTATCTCTTTATAGTGAAATCTTGAAAATTATGACAGAATAATGACATAGTAGCCAAAATTTTACATGGGCCAATATCAGAAACTTAACAATGACAACTGTGTAAAGGCAACCAAGAGTCAGTGGAAAGATGAAAAGACTAAGGTAGAGACAAGAAACAATGAAGTCTCAGAGACAGAGACAGAGAGACAGAGAGAGAGAGAGACAAAGTGTAGTATGAAGCTTACTTGGACTTCCTGTTCTTGGATGCTTGTACCCTTGTAATAAACTACCACTTAATAAATTAGCCTACTTGAATGGATTTTTGCTCTTTAAATGTCACATCTTCCTTTATCCTTAAGGTTTTAGAAAGTTCTATTTAAATATTGCACTTGTTCACTACCACCAGAAATAGGATATAGGTAAAAACAAACCTGAAAAGCAAGAATACATACATGAAAATGCCTTGGTCTCTTTGCAGGTTTTAGGTAATCTGCAGTATGTGACTAAATTGTGTTCAAAAAACATGTGGCAGAGGAATATCCAGTTTAAGGACTACCTTCAAATTAGTATGGATCTATACATACAGAAATGTCTATAGAGACAAGGCCAAATTCTATAACATTGAAGAAAAAAGCTTGCAGGGGGTGCTTATGCCCTTACTGGGAGGAAAGCAAACACTTAAAACTGAACAAAACCCTCTAAATACCTTCTCTTCATATTTCACATCTCAGTTTTACTTTGACAGTGTTTTTTTTTTGTTTGTTTTGTTTTGTTTTTTTGTGGAGACAGAGTCTCGCACTATTGCCCAGGCTGAAGGGCAGTGACACAATCTCGGCTCACTGCAACCTCCAGCTCCCGGGTTCAAGTCATTCTCAGCTCCTAAGTAGCTGGAACTATGGGCACACACCACCACAACCAAATAATTTTTAAAATATTTTTAGTAGAGGCGGGGTTTCACCATGTTGACCAGGCTGGTTTTGAACTCCTGACCTCAGGTGATCTGCCCACCTCAGCCTCCCAAAGTGCTGGTATTACAGATGTGAGCCACTATGCTTGGCCTACTTTGACAGTCTTTTTCACTGTAGTCTTAAAAACAATCATGTAATTATGTCACCTTTGAAAATTGCTGAAAAGACATTTCTAAGAGAATGGGTTTTAGAAAATAACTGCTCTCCTAGCTCTTCCCAGCTCTGTTTCTGTGTTTATAATATAAAGCCAAGCTATTATTACTGCTGTTATTCATTTGAATAATCTCCAAGAGAAAGGAAACTTACAAGTCTCCATTTATACTCTGCTGTTTTTTATAAAAATATCATAACACTCAAATGATTAGAATTACCTTGCTTCTTTTCCATGATCACCAATAACTCTGTCATCACGACCAAGATTTCTAGAAGAAATTCGACCCAGTTCCATCATTATTTCCTTATTCAATCCTTCCAGCCCATGTGACTGAAAGCGAACACGATGACGAGAATAACCTGCAAGTTGCTCATCTGCACCAATTCCAGTGAGAACTACCTAAGCGGTTTAAAGAAATCCATATAAAAATGTTATCAACTACACAGTAAAGAAAATAAAAGCTTAAAAAATTACAAATCTAAAGATAACACTTTTGGAGAAAAACCAGATAAGGTAAAATATATCCAATTCTAAAGACGTCATATATGTTGTGTTGTGGCTTAAATGCAACTAAAATACACTATATTCTTACAATCAAAATACTAAAAGCTTTGAGGGTCAAAAATAGGTCTCGGAAATTCTTATGAGAAGAAATACTGTGTCATACCTTTGCATTGCTCTGATACGACTTCACTCCATCCTGGGCCACTAACTGACCAATTCCTCTAGAAGCAAACCAGACTGCACAGCCAATACTATCATCCAAAACTGTATCCAACGGCCAAATTAAGTGACATATTCGAGTTCTTCTTAATTTCTGCAGTTCTTCCATAGAAACATTAACTTCAACAAAATTCCAAATTCGGGAAGGGCTAAGAGCTTGTAGTTCCTTTAGTCCTGCTCTTCCTGTGATTCGATCTGGCACATTGACATGTTTATCAGGACTGCCATCAGCAGCAGGACCAACATCTTTAGAGGATTCTTCAGAAGGTATTTCACATTTATTTTTCTGTTTATTCCTTTCTTTGTTAAAGCTAGTTGGCATGGTCTTTTTTTCAGCTATGAAAGCTACATTAAGAAGATCAATGGGTTCATCTAAAGGAATATGACGGTCAGCAAGGGTTGCAATAACCATGGAATCAATGCCCCCAGAAAACAGAATTGCAACATTTGCTTTCCTATCACACGTTTTCACAACTTCATTTGCTGTCAGGTTTTCATCCCTAGGTAAACACAAGACACGTTTCTTGACTGCGATACTTAGGACATCAATGAACTGTTGAATTATTTCCTTCATGTGTACATCGGTAAGAAAGACTTGAAGTGTCTCTCTCGTAGGTGGCACATTGGAAATATTACTGCAGTGAGTATCCAATTCAGCTTTTGGCAACATCATATTTAAAGGAACAACTGGTTTTTCAAGATATAGTTTGGCTTCATTTGCTACCACTGATACAAATGCTGGTAAGTCTGCTGAAATTTGACTCAGGCTGTTAACATTTCCTTCAATAATATTCTCCCTAGAAATATACTTCCAAGGATACAGTTGTAAAATAATGCACCTGGAAATGGCAGTAGACTTAAGATCAATTCTGAAAAGTCCAGATGCTGGAACTTCTTGCCACTGATTTGTCTCTCCAGATGTTTGGGTGCCAACTGAAGAGAGGCAGAAACTCTTGCCCAAATTACTAAAATGCCAAAGCAAGCTACGGCGACCAAAAAAATCCCTACCAAACCATAAATAATGACTGGATGCTTGATAATATATAAATGACCAGGGACCTTGCACTTCTGAGAAGAGTGACAAAATCTCAGATTCATTCTTACAGGAGGTAAGATAATTAAACATAATTTGAGTGTCATTCTCTTCAGCTTCAACTTTTATTCCACTAAAAACTTCTCCATTCCATAGAAACACATTGCCTCTTTCATCTTCCACAGGCTGGATAGTCAAAACACCCCTCAAGTGGAGGACATGACCAGAAAATAAACACTGATAGTTAACATCAGACTTCAGCAATTGTTTACTACTATCGGGTCCCCGCTGTTTAAGATTATACAGTAAGTCCTCTTTTAAATTTTGACTGAAATGCTCAGCAGAAAAGTTTACAGAACAACAAATGCCACACATTACTATGTGAAATCAGGTTGACTATTTCTTGATTTTGGTCTTCTCTAAGTTTTCTATTTCTTGGTATTCTTTTTTCAGTTCATCCAATATATCTGTTGCAGGGAAGGAGAATAAATATTAAATAAAATAAAAATTTTTGAACTTTTACCTAGTAATTCATAGGGCAATACAAGTCTGTTTACCAAAATCAAACCATATAAACACACACACTGTGCCAGTGCCAATAATAATTAACAGGCTACTAATAAAATATATTTATCATTTAGAAAAATAGCTTCTGTTTGCTGAGTACTCATTTTGGCCCAAGCACTTGGCTAAGCACTTTATATAGAGCATCTTATTTAGATCCCACAATACCTTGGAGGCTTAAAATATTTCACCTGAAATCACAAACATAGAAGATGGTAATAGTTTGTCATACTGAGACCTGTTTGAGACTCTAAAGCACATGTTAATAACCATTGCTTTCTAACACATATTATGATATATATATTTTTAAAACTGTTGACTCATCTTTGAAGGCTAACTTGAAAACCAAACTGCTGCATTATTCTTTAGATATATATTTTAACATTCAGATGAGTATAATTTAGGCACCCACCCCCCCGCCCCCCAAAAAAACTTACTTTTGCTCTCAGACAGCATTTCTGTTCGGTCTGCAAGAAAGAATATATTGCTGTTCTGTTGTTGCCTATATACTTTCTGCAAAACAAAATTTAGGCTAATATCAAGTTTTGATCTAAAAAGTAGATGTTAAAATCCTTAACCCTATTATCACTAATTCTTGAACTTCAGTAATATATATTCAGCACAATACTTTAGCAAATACAGATAAACAAAAAGACAAGTAAAAGTCACCCATTACCCTAACACCAGAAATTGCTACTACTAAAATGAAACTATTTTCTCTCCATATACTATTTTAACAGAAAAGGTTCTTACTATGCCTGCAGATTTGTGCTTTTATCAATGAGCAATACATTGAGAACACTTTTTCTTAAGTGTTCTTTTACAGGAACACTAAAACGCTAAAACGAGCTACGGCAACCAAATTATACTTCCTGCTATATAGATATAACATATTATAGTTTATTTGCTGAGCTTTCAAATAGTAGACATTTAAGGTGTTACCAACTCTTCACTACTGTAAATCAATGTTGTGAGGAATATCTTCATAACCAAATCTTTGTGTACCCTCTTGTCTCTCTCCAAAGTATCAATTACTACAAATGGAACTGCTGAGTCAAAGTGTTATAGTTTTGAGTTGTTGAGACTTTCTGTCAATTCGGCCTCTAGAGAAAGTTTGTATTAATTGTGCCTGGACTTTTTTTATTTTTGTGAGATGGAGTCCTGCTCTGTCACTTATGCTGGAGTGCAGCAGCGTGATCTTGGCTCACGGCAACCTTTGCCTCCCAGGTTCAAGTGATTCTTGTGCCTCGGCCTCCTAAGTAGCTGGGATTACAGAGATGTGCCCAGCTAATTTTTGTATGTGCCTCAACTTCTAATATTCCATAAGTGACAATATGAGAAATATCTCGCCTGCCAGTTATTAAATAATCTTTAAAATGCTTTTAAGAGCTCAAATTCATTTCTTCCTGAACTTTAAAATGTAATTTGACACTATAATTATACACAAAGCAGTAGCTTGCTTGTTTATATTAATGGAAATGATATTAAATAACCATGTTACACATTTAGAAAAATCTATGTAAAAATTTTTAGAGGGAGGGGAAGCAATGTATCCTTTTTTGTTCATTAATTATCCACATTCATTTAAAAGTTTCTTCTCATCTCAATACAAAGTTCATGTATATCCAAAGAAAACACCAAATTCAAGTATAAAATAAACATCATTAGTGATTACAGCTCCAAGATACCAAAGTACAACTAGAATCATTTGTTGCAAAGGCAATGTGAATGGCATATGATAGAAAAAAGACATCTTCAACCATGAGATCTATCCATTTAAAAAAAGAGTCTAGACACTTGCAATTTAACTAAAAAGATGCTGAAATACTACAAATTTTGTTAAAGTATGATTATATCTTATATATAATTCTTATAATTTTAATATATAGTTAAATAAACCTCCCACATATTATTCAGAATTCCTGTAATAACTCACCCTATTCTTCTTAAGGTTAGAAAGTTCATCCACAACAATTTTTTGTTCTTTAATCTATTGAAATAACGAAAAAAAAAAAAACAATAAAAAAAACTTAAGTTAGATGTTTTCAAAGTATGCTCAATGAAAATCCTTAAGGGGTTGTTTTAAAATTAGAGATGGGATAAGGGGCCATGATGTACTGATTTTCCAAACGAGCAGTTCATGAATATACAGATTATTTTCAACAGCAGTCTGTATGGGGGTACAGTTGGGGAAAAGCTGGAGGAGAAAAAAAAGTGATTACATTTGCAAAATGTTAGATAACCCATTAAGTCCAGACAGGGGATTTGGTGTTGGTATCCAGCAATCACTCCAAGGACTATAGTTAATAAATGACATTTATACCTTTATTAAAAATATATGATATACACCAAAAGCTGTTCCAGTCTTTCAATTAAGTTGTGATTTAGATTTTTTTTAAAAAGGCAAATAGAATGAGAGGTGGATTACTTTTTTCAACATTTTCATGATTTTGTTTACTAAGTGGTGTAGTCAAACATTCAAATCAAGCAATGCCCTATTTGGGGACAGTAAGACCTATCACATTCCATCCTTGTATTTTTCCCTCTTTTTATCTCAATGATTAGCATAGAGCTGGCACTGTTGAACTAGGCTTCTTCTGGTTTTGTGAAACAGGGTCTTGCTCTGTTGCCCAAGCTGGAATGCAGTGGCGCCATCAAGGCCCAGTGTAGCCTTGACCTTCCTGGGCTCAGGTGATTCTCCTACCTTAGCCTCCTAGAGTAGCTGGGACTACAGGTCTGGGCGTCCGTTCTGGCCGTGACTTTATTTATTTGTAGGTGAGGGCTCAACTAAGTGAAAACTAAGTTTCCTTTTAACTCTTTATTTTGTGAATATGACTCACTACAGTGTCGCAAGTGCCTCTAAAAGCAGCTTTTACAATATTTGTGCTACCTGACACTCCTCAGGGATCTGTATCCATCAGTACGCATAAGTGGCTTGTTACGGTGGTAATCAGAATGGGCTGTGTGTCTTTTGAAAATTCAGCCCCCATCCCCATGAGTGTGCACCTTCTGGTCTCCCCATTGGCAGAGCTGTAGTAATGAGGTTGAATTCCAAGACCGAATTTGCAAACATTCTTTGAGACTTACATTTGTACAGGGCTTTCCCATTTTAGGAATGACAGGTGTTACATTTCACTTTACTTCAAAGAAGGTAACTGATACAGAAAGATTAAAGAGATTTGCCCAAGATGTCATTTGGGAGAGAACCAAAGTAGAATCTAGGACGTGTAATACCTGAAGGACTATAACCCTCCACACCCCCATTTATCTTTTTTTTGTTGTTTTTTTTAACACTTTTTGGGTGACAGGTACACCAAAATCTAAGAAATCACCACTAAGTAACGTATTCTTGTAACCAAAAACCACCTATTCCCTAAAAACTATTGGGAAAAAAATCTCCTCAGGTGATTTCTAATATGCAATAAAATTTGAAACAAAAAAAGTGCTGACCTATATTGCAGGGGGCAGTTACCTCTCAAACTTGTCAATAAAGATGTATTTTCTAAATAGTAATATATTCTTTTTTTAAATTGTACTTTAGGTTCTGGGGTACATGTGCAGATCATGCAGGGTTGTTGCATAGTTACACACATGGCAAAGTAGTTTGCTGCCTCCATTCCCCAACAACTATATCTGACACTTCTCCCCACTGTATCCCTCCTCACCACCCACCCCCATTTATCTTTAAAGGTTATGTCTGTTTGTTGAAGTTAAGGTTTATATTATATTGGCTTCCTCTTTCGCGGCGGGGGTGGCGGGGAGGTCCCAACGGCAGATGACGGTGGCTTATTTGGGGTGCTGAGGGTGTTGATGGTGATAAAGGGGCATATTTGAGATGAGCCTCACAGGTAGAACTGATAAGCCTCCGTGAGGGGCGTCAAGGATGGACCCCGGGTTGCTGGCACGGTTAACTGGATGGAGAATATCTGCGATGGAACAGATTTGGGGTGGGCGGTATTTCCAAAAGTTTAAAAAGGCTAGGGAGGACAACCCTCAACCAAAACTCCGCCCCACTGCCACCGGAGGGTCCAATCTCGGAAGAAATTTCAAGATCTCCTTTATCGCAACTGTTTTCAGAAAATAAAAGGACGAACTGTGGCTGTCAAGTGCTAAGAATAAAAAGAGCAAAGCAGCAGGGCAAAGACGAGGCCCGGGCAGGCCCCAGGCTGCCCCCTGCGGACCAACTTCAGGGTCCAGGAGCGCCCGGTCCCTAGTTCAGGAGCCTTTCGTCGCGTCTCACCCTCACCTTGCTGCTAAGATCCTCCTTGTGTGGGGTCGAATTGTCGGTGGGGGTCAGCACAGAGCTGTCCTCTGGGCGCGTCCCTCGGTTGGGCATTTCCACCCAGCACGAGACCGACAGGATGCTCAGCGCTGAAGGAGCATACAGCAGCAGCCAAGGCGCATGCGCGCTTCCAGCCGCGCTCCCTCTTTTCCCGCGAGTGTTAACAACGGAGTCTGCGCCCTCACTTAAACGCATGCGCAGGCCGGGTCTGGCCTGGGGAGCAGTTTTGCGCCTGCGCATGGCTGCTGAGGGCGCGAGTCAACCATCTGGTTGCAAAATCTGATGTTCCTGTACTGCCCTCTAGTGGTTGGGATGCAGAAACGCTCAGGTGGTTTCTTCACGACCGCTTATCTAGTATACTACGAGTTATGTGCGCCCTCCAGTGGTAAATATAAAGAATAGTCGTGCAATAGAAATAGGACTTAATATATTATTTATTATCTACGGAAAGATGAAGCTGAGGAACGGATTTAAGAGATACCATGTTGGCAACAGAACTGTACAAACTTGGTAAAGTTTTGGTTAACTCGTGGTTAGTGTTGCCGGATAAAATGCAGTATGAATTTCAGATGAATTAATAGTTTTTTAGACATCTATGTCCCATGCAATATTTGCAATATCTCATTTCTGTGGAAAAAATGACTAAAACTTGGAAATAGGCAAAAGAGATTTACTGGGTTTTTTTTCAGTGCTGCTGTGGACTTTATTATGTTGACTGGGCTGTTTTACAATTCTGTAGGGACAAAGGTTAACTTTGGTAGGAATTTTGGTCTGGTAGGGATGGAAATAATTTTTTTTTGGTGCACCAGATACCAACACAGGTTATGATTTATTGTCCTGTAACACATTAGTCAGTGTTGTATCTAACCCGGCAATTCTATCTTAACATTTCTTTATTGATATATGCCTAGCTTCTCTAATATTCTGTACTGGTTTTAAAGTCTTATCAGTTCCCTCATTAACTAATGCGTTGAATAAAACTTTGATGTATATTCATTTTATGTTCACATTAGAGACATGATTTTAGATTTTTGAGAATTATACTCTAATATTGGAAATCTTAAGATTCCACAGAGATGCCCAAGTGGACTTATGTGATGAATCAAACTGTCTGGCTAAAGAAATGTATACATCACAGATTTTTCAACCTGAGGCATGTTTTTTATTTGCTCTTAGAGAAATCCCAAGTGGTTATACTTTTTTCCTTTTTATTGATTTTTAAAAATTTTGTTTTTGTTTCTGATTTGTACGTTCCCGATGTTATTCAGGTATAACTTATACATTACTGATACATTGATAGCATCAATGATTGGGAGTTTGGTGGTGTAGTCTAAGTACTTGGTGATATCTGTTGCATGATGGACGTCTAGTCTCCATTGAGGTAGATAGGTGCAGTGGCCCAAACCTGTAATCTCAGCCACTCGGGGCTGAGGTGGGAGGATTGCTTGAGGCCAGAGGTTCAAATAAATAAAGAGAGGTGATAAAGAAGCCAGTTTGTAAGTCTTTTTGTTTATCACTTGTGAGCTCAAATTAATTAATTACTTTTGTGTCCACTGAGAGGGAAGGAGAGCAGCTGTTTGAGATGTGGGCTGGTAAGGTTTTGTTTTGTCTGTTTTTGTTGTTTTCGAGATGGAGTCTTGCTTTGTTACCCAGGCTGGAGTGCAGTGCTGCGATCTTGGCTCACTGCAACGTCTGCCTCCAGGGTTCAAGCGATTCTTCTGTTTCAGCCTCCTGAGTAGCTGAGACTACAGGCGGATGCCCCCACGCCTGGCTAATTTTATATTTTTAGGAGATACAGGGTTTCGCCATGTTGGTCAGACTTGTCTTGAACTCCTGACCTGGTGAACTGCCTGCCTCAGCCTCCCCAAGTGCTGGATCACAGGCGTGAGTTACCACGCCCAGCCTGTCTGTTTTAACATAAAGGCAGCTCAAGCAGAAGTGCTGGTGAATGTTTGTGGTTTTGTGTTTACTTTTGACCTGAGATTGAAGTTGTAAAACAGAAGCAATAACCTCTCTGTGTCGTGTGTCTATAATTTAGAACAGGCTTTATGTCTCACTGTGTGAATGTAAACTATTTCCCTACTTCTGGAGTGTGTTAATAAATTCTACTCTAATGTCTCTAGTTAGAGGGCCTCTGTTCTGACTAGTTTATAGAGATAAATAAGCACTGGTATAATACCAATATTTTTTAAAGCCTAGAATTTCCAATGCTTTAAATGTGCTAGATTTTTAAGGAAAAAAAAAAAAAAAGGTTTTACAAAACTGCTGGCTTAGAAACATTTTAGGAATCCAAGTTTAGGAAACAGAGAACTCTGAAGTGTCACTTCACTTGCTGCTGCTGTTTTGGGACACTTTTTCTCTGTTGCCTCCGCTGGAGTGCAGTGAGTGGCGCCTTCTCTGCTCACTGCAACCTCTGCCTTCTGTGTTTAAGTGATTCTCCTGCCTCAGCCTCCCGAGTACCTGGGATTACAAGTTTGTGCCACCGTGCCCAGCTAATTTTCGTATTTTTAGTAGAGATGGAGGTTTCACCGTGCTGGCCAGGCTGGTCTCAAACTCCTGGCTTCAAGCTGTCTGCCCACCTCAGCCTTCCAAAGTGCTGGGATTCCTGGTGTTCGCTGGCAGCCCTGGCTTCCACTTTGTTTAGAGGTAATAGTGAGGCTTATCTGTAAAGCTGCAGAGACTGAGCACGCCAGCATATTGGTCTTTGTACCCCAACTTCTACTGTAGTGTCTGGCAGAGTGGAAGCTCTGGTTAAAGTCGGGACTGGCTCTGACTCACAAGCATGTCCATACTGAGCAGCCGGAAACACCCGACACCGCTGATTGGTCTATAACTGCTCACCCCGTTCTGGGAAGTGGGCTGTTGCTTATGGCCCTGCCACGTTCTGACGTTTTTGTTTATTCACAGCAGGGGCTGCCCAAGACAACATAGTACTCAACCAAGTGGTGACAATCATTTTAATATGATGCTAAACTGTCTTAAAATGCTTTCACTCTTTATCTTATTTTAGGAGTATTTACCTATTTGCTTCTATTTCCGCCCTCAGCTGCTCTAACTCCTGCATTGCTTGAAGTCAGCTTTGGGTTAGCTGGTGCCACGTGTCGTGTCTAACTGGCTCCAGACTGCCCATCTGCAGCCCACCATTCAACTAGAAGCTGTGTCTTCTCTTTCAGTGAGTCTCAACAGAGCTAGGGGTTTCCCTAGCAGATGCTTTTAAAAATGTGTGGAGGTAGTGTTGGTTGTCACAGGGATTGGATGGTTCTGTCAACTCCGATGGGGTAGGACAAACTGGGAGCCATTTCAAAGGAGACAGACTCAACTACAGACTCTTCTAAGAAGCGTAGACTAGCAGACCAAAGGGAAATCTCAGCAAGCAGACAGTACGGGGAATTGCACAGGGCGCGGAGGGCGAAGTAAGGCAGGCTGTAAGACCAAGGGGTGAAGTCAAGGGGGAGGTAATATCACAGTCTAAACAGGCGATCTGTAGCAAGAGTTCCGTCAGAAGGTGACAGGGCCTGAGATATCGGACTGCTGTTCTCCAGCAGGGCTCTAGGATCTGCGAGAGGAACTACTGGATCCTTATCGGAAACTCTTTGTGGGGAGAATGAGGGGAAAACGTTTTGTTGTCCTCACAACGCGCACCAGGCTGGTCCCAAGGGAAATGGCAGTCTCCAAGTAAATCCTTTTTACCTGCGATAAGGCTGACTCTCAAGCTTTGCGTCAAAGCTGTGGAATGTGGACATCGGGCCTCCCTGACTCTTGCAGCCAACTTCGCTGCGGGGTTTTGTGCAGGGCAGAAAGTTAGGATGTGGCCAGTGAGGCAGGGCGCAAAATCTGAAGACGCACGGACTCTGAGTCCTGCAGGAAAAGCCTCTTCAGACTTTCCGCCCCAGGCGCCTCACAAGCCTCATCTCAGTCACAGCTCTGCGCTCCTGCCAGCTGGATTTAAAGATTCCATTGGTATTTCTGTTTTACAACCTAGAGGTCAGTGTGGCTTGTGAATGACACCAGTGAAAGATGCTTTATATACCGCCCATGCCTGTTGTATCTTTACATGTCAGACAGCTATAAAGCAGGTTAATCAAAATTATCTTGGCTTCTTTCAGAACTGTTACATGTGGGTGCCACTGTCCACCTCTTTCCCAAACACTGAGGACATGCTCGAAATATTTTGGTCTACATTATTGAAGAAACAAAATTAAATGTAATAGTCTATTATTTAGGTCACAGTACGTGGCTGGTCCCTTTAAATAAAATAGTTGTGAAACGTTTACTCTCTGAGGAGTTGCAAATAATGATGAGGGATTTATTGTTACTGAATTCGAATTGAGATGCTTTAAGAAACATGTGTAAGTATTTCCACCTGAGTGAAGCAAGAGAGACAAATAAAGCCTAAGTGACATATTAGTGATAATTGTTTATGTATTCAGATGATGTTTTTCTTCACACAGTGCCTTCACTATAATGCAGAGCTCTTCAAAGCTGAGGCGTTTTTACCCTACTTCTGATTGTTAGCAATAATAAAGTTTTACAAAATGATTAATTAATGTCTGTTTATGATCAAAAGTAACTGTGCGTTGGGGTCTTAACAATTAGTCAGAAAAATACTACTTCTGTTACGACAGTGAAAGAAGCAGTTTAGCTCCATTCACCTGTGTTTGCTTGTAGGTTCAGTTGTTATTGTTGTAAAACCACTGCTATGCTATGGTTGTTGGCTTGTCCCAGAACAAAACATGTTTAAGTATCTGTGTTTCTGATTATTTTCTAATGGAAGTTGAGATTAAATTCTTAAAGCCATACTTCCTGCTGATGTAGTGTTATAATCATAGGTGTGGCTGCCACTGTGATTGAAACCTCTTGACAGAAAGGGCACAGGAGGGCTTTTGCAGAAGGAGGAATGTATAAAGGGAGCAGGGGGAGGGGAGGAAGTGAAAGGGTAGGAAGGAAGCTGAGCAGTTAGAACTTCGCAGACTATTTCGTTCCAAGAACCAGAAAATATTATTGTACCACTAGTACTGTTATTTAAACTAGTTATGATTTTGGAGTCAAGTTAGTGAAGACAAAACACAGGTGGGTAGAGTAGCCTGTGAATTCAAATCAATAACTGGTTCGATTTTTTTTTTTTTTTCCTGCAAGGTACATGGTTTAAAGTATCTAGTGAAA